GAGCCATTCAATGATTCTGCTGATTCTCTCGGTACAAGATGGCTGATTTTCTCATGCTTATGCATGGACCCACGTTAAGATTGATGTATAAATTCAAAACTGTATAGTGTCCAACAGGCTAGCTTTCGAAGCCTTTTAGAATCTTTGCAGACTGTTTCGCCTCAACATCCAGGGTGATGAAATGCCTGTCACGAAACACAGTATAATCACGACCCCAACAAAAGGCTCGTACGCCAACATGCCTACTGCATCTCTTGTAGGGTAGGGAGCAAGGCGCCATCCGAAACCAAGTCAAACAAATGCTTGCGGACGACATCACACAGCCTTCCACCAGCCTCAAGTGCATGACCCGTGGTCCTTGTGAAAAATAGAGACAGAACGATGCGTTTTTGCGTAGGCTACCACCAGCTCAACAATGTTACGAAGAAGGATGTCCATCCCCTGCCCCACATCGATGACTCTTTGGACCGCCTTTCACATGCCCGATACCTCTCGTCAATAGACCTTTGCAGTGGCTACTGGTAGATCAAGGTTTATGGGCGAGACAGTGAGAAAACAGCACTCGTTACTCCAGATGGTCTCTACTAATTCAAGGACCTTTCTTTCGGCTTGTGCTTCACTCCTGCTACTTTTCAGCGCATGATGGACACGGTTCTTTCAGGTGTGAAGTGGCAGTCATACCTCGTCCATTTAGAAGACTCCATCGTAAACTTGTTTACAGCGCAAACACAGCACACTAGAATACAGACGCTTCATTGCAAGATTTTCAATGATAACCGAATTTCTACACTGGCTTACAAAGAACAATGTTTCATTCGTCTGGCAGCAGGAGCAAGAAGATGCCTTTTCTGAATTACAGAGACGTAAACAACTCTCATTTTGGGGCACTTTGGCGAAGACTGCGAGCTGCATACAGATGTCTCCGACATTGGTCTTAGTGTTGCTCTCGTACAGTGGCAAGATGGGGCTGAGCATGTTATCGCTTACACAAGGCGTACTTTGTCACAAGCTGAAGAGAGCTATTCCGCTACGGAGAATGCTTGGCAGTGGTATTGCCAAGTTCTGATGTTATCTGTACGGCCGACCATTTCGTTCTGTGATAAACTGCTATTTCCTGTGCTGGCTGGCCAATCTCAAGGATCCACCTGGTCATCTTGCACGCCGGAGTCTTTGTTTACAAGAGTACAACGTGATGATCACGTTCGAGTCGGGGTGTAAGCTCACAGACACCGATTGTTTGTCACATGCTCCATTTCGACCTTCGCAAGTCGATGTTGATAAAGAAGGGGCATTTTTTTTCATTCTCATAGCACCCGAAATGAGCAAGCAACAATGAGATGATTCAGAGCTATGGTCCCTCACCAGCTATCTGGACGTCCGTTCATCAAAGCCACCTCATGCGTTTGCCTGTACATTGTCATCATTTTACCTCCGCCATGGCGTTCTCTATAAATTATTTTTCGACTCAACCGCGGCTGCTGACCTCCTTGTTGTGCCATCAATACTATGTGTGACATTTTACGTGCCTCTCATGACGAGCCATCATTGAGCCATTTGGGCTTCTTGCAGATGCTTTCACATATACATCGAAGGTACTTTTGGCCCAACTTTCGCAATGACATGAAGCAGTATGTTAAACGTGCCGCCTGTGCCAACGACGCTAGACACCACCCGTGTGTCAGGCCTTCATCGCATTGATCCTTTATTCATTTATTTATTTTATTTATTCATGATTTATTCATGATTTATAATGATTTATTCATTCATCATATTCATATCATGTCAGTGTGTCATCATTGAAAGAAGAATCATCTCTATTAACTCTTGCACTTCGTCGTCGCATTGCCACCCTAGCTCTGTTCCATAAGTTCTATTACAGCTTACGTGACCGACCGGACTTGATCACCACTCCAGCCCGCATATCTCATCGCACCGGTCATGCCCTACAAGTCACCCGTCCACGCAGCCACACCAAGACATTTTCTGCCTCCTTCTTTCCAAGGCATCATCTGAATGGAACGACCTTTCCCACAGCACTGCCGCCATTACCTGCCTGAGTTTATTTGTACAAAATGTAACACATTGTCTGTCTCGCAATTAACATACATGGTTAGCATTTTTTTTTGTATAATCTCTCTACATCCACCCCTTATGTAACACCCCCTAGTGGGGTCTTTAAAATAATAAAATGAAATGAAATGAAAATCCTCTATCGACTCCTTTTCAGCAAGTTGGCATAGATTTGCTCGGACCACCCACCTGCAGAGCATGCTGTTTCCACAGACTACCTCATGAGATCCATTAAAACCAAAGCTCTCCCACTAGGCACAGCAACTGATATCGCTACTTTCTTTGTACATAGCATCGTACTCCGCTACAGTGCTCTGACCGCAGTTATACCTGATGGAGGCGCGGCATTTACAGCACAGCTTAGCGAAGACATCATGCAGCTCAGTGGTACCACTGACGGAAAAGCCACGGCTTACCATCCCCAGACAAATGGGCTCACAGAGGGGCTATACAAAATGACAGCAGATGTGATTTCCATGTACGTCGACATTGGCCACAAAAACTGGGACACCGTTCTTCTATACGTTAAGTTCGAGTAGTCGAACCTGGATATACCAAAATCACCAAAGAGCGTTTAATAATTCGATATATGGCATAATTTTATGTAGGTCTACTATAGAATTTGATGACGAAAATCCACATCTAATAAGAAAAGTGTTTTATTAATATGGTGGCTTACTTGCATGCCCTATTTTGGAACAAAATAGTCCTGGATATTCTTCTGTTTCAGTGACTTTGCTGCCGGCGACGGCATGCACGCCTCCACTTTGCCCAACTAGTCGGAGCAGCTGAGGCCACAACCTTCCATATTCACGCAATAGCGCCAGATCAACGCAAGTGCACTTATAACTTCAGAGGCAACAGGTCATCGTCGATTTCCTCATTGCAGTCACGTTGGTTCGTGCTCGGCACGACGTCTGCAACATAGTCCTCATCTTGTAGCTGGCCAATGATAGCGACATGATTGTCCACTTTTACGAAACCATCAAATGGCGATCGATTGATGGTACCCGGGAACCCTGCCGGCCCGCTCCAAATTTCGGCAAAAACACCTGCAGTGTCTTCATTGCTGTCATCGGAATTTAGGGTGTCATCACCAGGCATGGAGAAACTGGCATGCTTTAATCTGTTCTGGATCGTCTCCTTCGTGACATCTGCCCACGATCTACTCAGCATAGAAAAAGCTCCGAGCAATTCGAACTTCTTTTCACTGCGCTCAACTTGATTTGTGATTTCGAGTTTCGTGGTGAATGGCAAATTCTGCCTCTTTGCACACACTTAGAAAGGGCAGCGCAAAAACACGGGGAAAAGAAGGATAGTAGAGACAAAGAACGCTGAACTGTCCTTCTTTTCTGCGTGTTTTTGCGCTGCCCTTTCTAAGTGAGTACTATGAACCAGCTAGCCCAAACCAAAGTACTTCTCTTTGCACAAGCCATGACGACAGCACGCCAAGAAAGTTCACAAAACGCCAACAGGCAACATCATTTGCACAAACCACGCTGGATGAGGACTCGAGGGAAAAAGCAGCAGCAGGCACACAGATATAAAGAAAGGAAAAATGGCGCTCACTTGTACCACATCGGCACCTTGGAGAAAGCACGACGGCCTCTGGTTGGCTGGAAGCGCTGCGGGCAGGCCAGGATCATTTTTTGCAGGGGGGTGTTCGCCAGTGCACAGCCGGGTCTAAAGCACTTTTTCTAGGGTGGCACCGGCATCTCCCCCTCCACGACGATGGAAAGCCAACTTTCTGGGGCACTTTTGAGGCACTTTTGAAGCGCATGGAGTTTGTAACGTGACAATATCGGTTGTCGATTCTATTTTAATTCGATATAACAGTAACTTTTGATATTTATTCGCAATGTAAATTTGCCGTGTTTAGAAATTGTTCGATATACGGGATAATTTTATATAAATGGGTTCGATGGAGCTCGACTGTAATACTGCCATCCAAGAAACTATCGATTTCACCCCTTTCCGCTTGCTGCATGGCCGGGAAGCTGTAACAACGTTGGAAGTGATGTTGGCAGAGATGCTGCTGAGTTCGCTAAACGCGCTGAAGAAGCGTGCTAGCTGGCACGAATGCGTATTCACTATCAGCAACACGACAACGCTCGCCGATATAACCTCCACTGCCAAGACGTCGCATACTAATGAGGGGATAAAGTGTAGGTGTTAATCACAGTCTGCCAACAGGGTCGCTTAGACAAACTTTTTCAACACTTCTTTGGCCCTTATAACATCGTACAATGGCTCAGCGACATTACCTACCAAGTTCTTTTTGAAGGTGAAGCAACCAGCCCTGCCACGGTGGTATAGTGGCTAAGGTACTCGGCTGCTGACCCACAGGTCGTAAGATCAAATCCCGGCTGTGGCGGCTGCATTTCCGTTGGAGGTGGAAATGTTGTAGGCCCGTGTACTCAGATTTGGGTGCACGTTAAAGAACCCCAGGTGGTCAAAATTTCTGGAGCCCTCTACTACGGCGTCTTTCATAATCATGTGGTTTTGGGACGTTAAACCCTACAAATCAGTCAAGGTGAAGCAACCATTCGCCACTCACGGCGTCCGTCGGACAGCATTTACGTTTCTTGGTTGCAGTCATACCACTCCTGTAGAGAGCAAAGCTGACAGTGTTTCTCATTGTTTCATCTTTCTGTCGGATTCTCCACCCCGTCATAGTTCGGCATCGAGACAATGCTGTTTAGAGAGGGGAGTAATGCCACGGTGATGACGCACCTTGGGGCAGCACAGATATGATTGAAGAAGAGCACGACGAGGCGTCTGAGTAAACAATCCTGTGCAGATCTAAGGGCTTGTGTGATTTTATTTGTGACAATATGATCACCTTCTTCTCGTTGTTTTCCATGTCTTGCTTTGACATGTTTTCTTTCTTTTTTTTTTTGAACTAATCCTCAATTTCTGCGTGTTTGCAGGGTGATGCTGATGACCTACCTTTCAGAAAGGGAGAAGTGCTGACAGTCATCTCAAAAGACGAGGACCAGTGGTGGACTGCACGGAACACTCTGGGGCACACAGGGTCGATTCCGGTGCCATACGTCGAAAGGGTACGGCACAGACTGTCTCAGCTTGTGCAATTGAGCAGACCCTGAGCATGTCGCTGCATCTTAGAACCCAACTTATTTTTTTACACATCCCAAGTTAGCTCACTCATTCAAACGGGTGATTACATTTAGTGGATACCTCATCGGTCAGGCTATTTAAAAAAAATTCACAATTATGTTGATGGGAATTGTCAGTGCAATTTAGTGCTGGAGCAAAACCAACAGTGTTTGAAAAAGTTTCGGCTTCGCAGAAGCGGTCAACTGCGCTGTAAGTTTTGATGTTTGCAAAGTTGGACAGCACTGGCTCTACCATTATTCACTTTTCTCAGGATAAGTGAGGCACCCGCTACACACTTGTAAGGTACAATGTACAATATCTTGACGCTGCATGTGGCTGATGACAATGAAGCCGAGCACTTTGCAGCGGGTAGGAAGCAATAAACGGCACACTCGTTACACAATTGGCATTGTGTGATGACTGGTTGTTATTTTGCCTTTTTGCCACACAATGTAACATAGGTCAACGAGACTCCTCACCCAACAGGACGCCTGTATAGGGTGCTCTTGCAAACGAGTTCCAAGCACCAGCGCGGCTCTGTAGTAGAATACTTGAGTGCCACCAAGTGGTATTTGCTTTTTCTCGTTTTATTTTTTTTTCATGTCTATTGGCATGCCATTGACGGATTGCTCAATGCAGAAATGGGTGCCTAAGAAGCGTGCTCTAAAACCACTCCCGCTCACCTCACCAGGCCATGTCGAGTTTTCTGTGGGGGAAAAGGGTGAAGCACTGAGCCCTGTCGTTGCGCTTCGCTTGTTGACTTTCTCACAGCGGCACGTGCTAGAAGCCTTGCTCAGTCATTGGATGCACCGGTAACTTAGATTGCTAATGTTACGTGGCATTGTTGAAATGGCTGTAGTCATGGCAACGAGCAACACCTAGTCTTATTCAAAGCACAAAAGGGTGTGGACGCCGAATAAAAGACCCGAAATAACAAGCTGAAGTGGCCACGAAGAGTTTTTCCTGTTGCTTTGTTACTTTCTTGCTTACAGCACTGATTCGTCCAAATTGATGCGGAAACATGCTCACACTTATTTTTTCATCATAACTTCTGTATCTCAGGATTGTTTAGTGGCCTTTCAAAAAACTTGTGTACTCAAGCTACCTGATGCAAAAATTCTTAAAAAGAGGTTGTGGGCTCGAGCTGATGTTCCAGCAAGTGGATATGTCTTCTTCAAGACTAGTTCTAGCCTCGAACAAGACAGATCCTCGTCTTCTTCAAGGCTAGTTCTAGCCTTGAAGAAGATGAGTTCACTTGTCTAGTTTCACAAATTCGCTTACCGTATTTACTCGCTCAATGAACGTACTCGCATAACAAACACACCCCCAACATCTGTCATAAAAATTTTGATTTTTTTTCCCCCGCGTAATAAATGCACCCGCTACATTCACCTGCTGAAGTCCCGCCAACTGACACCTGGTGCCTCCTCACCCGTTTGGATCTCTTCCGTTTTTGATTACTTTGCCAACACCCTTCAACCACCTTTGCTTGCTCCCTCCCCCCTTCGCCCGTTGTCGCGTGCCGTATTGCTTTTCTTTCTATCTGTAATAAACACATCCCCTACATTCATCCGCTGCAGTCCCCCTAACCGACACCTGGCCCCTCCTCACCGGTTGACCCCCTTTCATTCATTATTACTTTTCCGACCTCCCTCAACCACCTCGGATCTCTTTTTCCGTCCCTTCGCCCATTTGTGCCTATTGCTTTTCTTTCCATCTGTTCACCGCACGTCCCCCGTCTTATATATGTGCGTCATAGCGGGGGTTCACGAGCTGTGCAAGTCTAGAGACATCGCAGCTGATAAGCACACAGTGAGCGATGGTCATCAAAATGCCCGTGCCGACCGACGTCAGATTCAGATTCACTTTTATTGAGCATTTTCTTTACGAAATTGCGGAAAGAAAATGCAAGGACGGGAGCAAAAAGCTGGTATGTTAGCAGCTTTACGAGGCTCCTACCTCTTGTACGTGGGATCAGAGAACCGCAAGGATCGAAGAACTGCAAAGACAAATACGAAAATAATTGGACATCGATTTTAATACTTCAAGAAATCATGAAATAATACCAAACAGCTCATTGAGTTTCAGGTTTACATAGACATTAGCAGGGCATATACACACACACACACACAAAAAAAATGAAACAGCACTCAGTCAATCATCAAAAAAATACGCGTGTTGCTACATGTCTTACAAAACACTACAAATTATAAAAAAAAATGCACAACACTTAAGTATACTAAAAATACAAGTTCTGAACAGGTCCAATAGAAAACACTGATAAATAAAATGTTGCATATCCTACTCGAAAAGAAAAAAAAAAGAACATTTACATAAGAAGCAATAACGTAGGCAGACATGATTACACACATGAACATAAATATAGGGTGTTTTCTTTTAGGCACAGTGTTCCTGCCGAACAAATAGAAGAAATTAAACCTTACACGCCACCATTCTGTATGAGGAACTTCATAAGTTGTTTTTTTAACTTATATCAAAGCTGGCAATGTTTTTATTTTCAAACATGTTAAAACAAACGGGAATGCAGTGTTGAAGTCTTTTTAAACTATAGTAAGTTCGAGAATATGGTACGAACCAGGAAGGACTTTGCTTAATGCTGTAATGGGTGAACTGGTGTGTGCAAATACAGACAAATGACAACAGAAAAGAAGACACAGGGACAAGCACAAACTTTCAACTGAATTTAATTCTTCGTCATCCTTCATATATATATATATATATATATATATAGTCACATATAAAACAGTCAAGCGGGCACGAGGTCAGAACCAATCATCTTACAAAAAGCCGCACAAAAATGACGCTCACAATCAAATACAGTCGAGCCCACATATTACGGCCCCACTTAAAAGGAACATTCGCTTAAAACAAACAATATCCGCGTAACCGTGAAAATATACATTGGTTCAATGGCACAAAATCGCGCTTAAAACGAACGTCACCGAGCGCCGCTGATCGGTTACAGCGAACAGAGTCAGTGGTTTGCCGAATTCCCGGGAAACCAATTTCGACCACCGATCAGGCATCGGCGAGGTGCCCATACATTCTTATTGTTAAACGCCGACTCTGCCTCCGCGCCCCTCTAGTTGCCACTCTCCCCGACCACTTTTTGTTACGCACCCCTCCGTCCTTTGTCCCCCCGCTACTCTGAGCACCCCGCAGCGCCAGACGAGGCCCGTGTTTTCACACTGCTATCGATCTTTCGAAAGACCAGTCGGCCATTTGCCAACATCGTCGGCCACCGATTGTATCCGATAGTCTGCGTCTAGTGCACGCGCCTACGCTACCCCACCGACTCTGATAATTTGCGATTCGTTTCGTGTTTATGACTTGTTCTTGCTCACTTCTCACACGGCTCAGCATGTCTTCCGCACGCGTGCGGAAGCGCGAAAACAGCTGTTGATTTGCGCGGAACGAATCGCGAAATATCGAAGTTCGTGAGGCCACGCAAACCCGCCGATGCAACAAAACGATTTTTTCACCACGGCCGCCGATTCTTCGAACACCGCCGTGCGCACCGATTCAAGTGGCTATGCACACTTTCCAAGTTTTCCTGCGTCTGAGTTTCGCGGACCTTTCAAGAAAGCTACCCAATCTGCCTCCTTCCCGTGTGTTTTGGTTTCAAGGTCGCCCTCCTGCCGCGTCCTCCCCTCTCTTTATCGCAACTCCTTGCCCTTCCCTCGCAATTCTGCTCTCCTCTATTTATCACAACCCCTTCGCCTGTCTGCACCGCTCCGCGACGCCCGCCACGCTGGCTCGAATTAGTTTCGTTTTCTGACTGGAAACGGGCCCAGAGCAGTTCCACACGTTCTGGCATGTGTGTCGCGTGTGCGCGTCTTGCTCGTTCTTGGTGCGCGTGTGTGGTCATGATGGCCGACGGGAGGACTAGCACGCTTCTTCATGACGCTCAACAAAACATCGAAAGTTTCACTGCTTTGCTTGAGCGTAATATTCACGTTAGGTGCCGCGTTGCGGAGCGCTTGCTCATGGTTGTTGACCACCTGGCAGCCAACTTGTCGCTTTGGGCGTCCCGGTATTCAGCTGTGGATATGGTGAATATTTCGTGGGCGGCGGTGACGACTGCATGCGCGCGAAACGGTTTTCGTGAGGCCCACTTCGTCGGCGTCGGGCCCGATGTCGAGCCTGAAGCTTCCGAACAGGACCACCGCGGCGGCGATTTGTGGCGGTGCGTCGTCGACTCCGACCTGGGAGAGTGTGTGGGACATCTGTTGCGGTGGTTTAATTATGGCCGGTGATGATGCCGACACTGCAGAACCGTGCACGGATTAAGGCATTGTGAATGAAGTACGTGGTGAGAGCGATTTGGAGGAATCTGATTGCGAGAACTACGAAACTTAGGAGCCAGTGCCTCATGCAGCTCATGCCACGGACCTCGGCGAATGAGCACCCTCTCGTTTTAAATGAACTCGAGACCGCCCTTATCGCTTCTGCTTTTCGAAACACGTGCATCACGGACTTTTTGGGGCAAAAAAAAAGTTTGTGTTTTCACTCGCAACTTTCTCTAAAAGCTGTGTTTCATTTACGAAAAACTTCAGGATACACTGAATGGATGCCGCGTCACGCTCAGGTTCGTTATAAGCGGGCTCGACTGTAATGGTATTGACGTATCACTGACACAAGTGTTGTTTCTTGCAGCAATATAAAAGCTTCCATCAGTTCAGGGGCTGTGGTATCAGCACTTTGACCCAAAATCCTAATCTCTGAAAAATTGGTGAGCACATGCAGCTTTGCAGTGCGCGGGCAAATGCGTGATCCCGTTATCTCTAAGTGAAAGCTCATGATCCTTTGCACGGTCGTTCACCCAACGCCCCGTATGACCTACATGAAATTTCCCACAAGACAGCGGTATTTCGTAAGCGACGCCAGTCGCACATTTCACATACACAAATGAGTGTTTCTTTCT